AGAAGAAATGATACTAATTCTATTAAAGTATTTTTAATTGAAGAATTATTAAATATTTATAGTTCATAGTAATATTTATCCTTAATTTCCCCATAAAGATAAAGATTGCCAACAGGATTAAAAAAATAACTTCTCTAATTAATATTTTCAAATTATTTCTGATTAAATTAAATGAGAATTAATATTTAATTTGACTCTTCATTATTCTTGAATTAATGATACCAAAAGTTAATTTAGCTTTGATGGAAAGAGAAAAAGTGCGATTATATAGAAATAAGTAAAGTATTTTCTTACTTTTTAGACTAAAAATTATTTAATCAATAATAGACCTTAAATAATATTTAATAGTATTAGCATTTTATATTATTTTTAAAGTAATATTGAAAAAGAATAGCATTGAAAAAGAAATTTCTTATTTTGACATTCAACTAACTTGTATCATTTGAATTTTAAATGCTTAATAAGATTAATAATATATTATTAATAATTCTTAATTTATATTATGAACTAATTTAGTATCATTTATAAAATGTTTAAGATAATTATATATATTCTCAAATATCTTCGATGTCTTGATCAAGACATAAAATTCCTAATATTTATAAGCTTTCTCATACTTTAGATAAATGAATTTAAACTAATTGAACTTTTCAATAATTTTTTTGATAATTAAAATTTTCCATCATATTGAACTAAATGATATGCAATTATGACCTCTTTTATAAATTCTAAAATCTCTAAAAGACTTACTTAAATTATTGTTTTATCATTCGAATTTAAAAGGTTATATTTGTATATAAATTCATGTGACATAACAAGATGATGGAAGTCATCTAAGTCTGAATAAATAGCAGAATTAGCCAGAAAAAAAGCTATTTGTTTTTTAATTTCTAGTATATCATATTCTAATAATTTACATAGGGACTTCAAAAGTGATTCATTTCTGATAATTTAATTTACTAAATTTGCACTACGGCTGCAATATTTGATACAGACCAACCTTACATAACTTCTCTTCGAATACTTTATTTTTATGATAAAGTAATTTTTCGAATCTTGATAACTCTCTAGTCTTTAAAATATGATTTGATTATGTCTCATTGAGATATTTTAAAATTTATAAAAGTATTTTAATTATAAATTATGTATGCAGATAATGAATAGAAATACATTTGATTGCTCTGAAATTAATTCATACTATTCGAACTCATACACTTTTTGGCTTATTTTCTAACACTAAGATGCATCTCCAGGATAATGAAGATTTTAAAAAATAATTAAGGCAAGTTGTAATAGAAATTAGACAATTTTTGCAAATTTAAGAACATTCTACAACTGCTATTCTAAATAGTTAGCTTCAGTATAGGTAAATCTGTTTAGTATTGGATTGAAGCAAAATAATTAAATAATTAAAATATTGCATTATTTTTTAATTTAAGCAAGATTTTTATTTTGGAACTAATAAATTAGTAAACCATGAATGAGGGCTTTTAATTTGAAACTTTTTATCTGAGATGACATTAAGTATTTGCTTCTACAATTTAGGATGAGTAAGTGTTGAAAGTTGTTACCATATACTGAAAATATTTCTTGAGTGAGGAAAAAAAGAATCACAGATTGAATATTTTAGGATTACCATTATATGAATTGTAAGACCGAAAAATTTATTGAATTATATGTATTATAATTCAAATGGATTGACATAATGGACCTTAAGTGAAATGAAATTCAATTACTTTTGTAAAACAATTATTATTATAATTAATTGTTAGCTCAGAACTTAAGAAAATACTTTTTTTGATCAAAATTTCTATTGTAATTTCTTAAATAATTTAATTTAGCTTAGAAATATAAAATATTCATTCAATAATAAAAATGTAAATATAATATTGATTTGAATTCAAAATTATAAGGATAAGAAATCAATTAGATAATACTTAGTATGTGTGAGAATCACAGTTTCTTATTTTTATTGAATTCCTCACATATATTGTTCAGAAATTTTTAGGCTATAAAAAATTACATAAGGTGTCTAACAATTAATTAGGTTGGTAGAAATCATTAATCTATTTAGATTTTTTTTTTATACTCACTAATTCTATGTTTCATATATAAAAAGGAGAGGATAGAGAAAATAGCAGCTCAAATCAAGAAAGTCTCAATATAATTATTTGTTAATTAAAAGAACCAAGGCTCATTTCTTTTTCCTTTTATGATCACATTCTCTCCCCTAACTAGGTCCCTTAATTTATTTTCTCAACAATATATTTGGAACATCTTCCCTTGTTCATTATAGAAATCAATTCATATATAAAAATGAAGACCAATTTAGATAAATCAACTTAAAGTTTAGTGAGGATTAATTATGCTTAAATTATTTACGTCTATTTTTAGTGAATAGAAATTTTTAAGAAGTAATTATAACTAGTTGATTTGAATTGATTGTATTCTTTCAATTCTGAGAAGTAAATCAATTTTATTGAAATATCTAATTGCTAAATATTTCCAAATATCCAGGAAATCAAATCCTTTTCTTGAATGATGATTTGAATGAAAATATTTTAATTTGACATTACTTTCTACATAATGTAAGTTTATTAAGAATTTTAATATCTTTAAATAAAAATAATTAATAAAAATTTAATATCAATTTAATATTAATTTTA